TAGCCAATGGAATATAAACACAAGTATAAGCATCTTTTCCAGGCCTGGCTCATGCCTCATCTTCATGTTCTTCACTCACCAGCTAAGTGCTGAAGAGAACTCAGAGACAAGAGGAGAGTTCAGTCACCAGAGAGAAGCAGCCTTGGTCTCTGAAGGACTGTATGGAGCCCACTGTTTTGTCCATGAAAGCTAGACTATGATAAGAGCAATAAATACACTATGTGTTGTGTTAAGTCACGAGGATTTGAGGTTTTATTGTTACAACAGCTAGCATGGCTTTAATATACACTCATAGCACGATCTACTCCATTGGATGTACTAGCTGATTGGTAGGATCTCTTCAAAACTATACATTGTTAGTTCTTTTCTTATGTGTTACATAGTAAGTCTAGAGAAAGAGGTGTAAAGGAAAGATGGAAGGAGGAAGGAAGGAAGGAAGGAAGGAAGGAAAGAAGGAAGGAAGGAAGGAAGGAAGGAAGGAAGGAAGGAAGGATAGATGGCAGGCAGGCAGCAAACAAAATGGAAGTTTCAAACAACAGATCAATATAAACTTTATACATAAATCTCATTCGGTCATGTACAATACCCAGAGAAATATTTTCACTACAGTCCACATGCCTCCAAATGCCAAAGCGTCTCTTTAGCCAAATGAAATTTCTGCCCAATACTCTCCTCAGCCGCAGCTGTTGCGGGTCCCTGCTGCCCCACCCCCAGCTCTGGCATCGGCTCCCTGCAGCATGCGCTCTGGATGGGCTGCAAGCTGGTGGAGACAGAAGAGTACTTTGCCAATATTTTTTTTTTTTTGCAGATGTTAGAACTGGGAAAAATGCTCACATTGATGATAAGGTCTGATCCACAAAGCAGGCAGATGTTACCTTTGGGCTACTCCTCAGAGCGGACTGAGGCCACCTCTACGCACTACACGTGCACCCACCGCTCAGCCTGTCAGTAGAGGACATGCCACCTCAGTATTCCAGTGAATGAAAGTGGCCCTACTTGCTGCTTAAAAAGTCAGCTCTCCTTGGTAGATTTGTAATTACAGATATGATGCATGCTTGTGATAGCAAGTTAAATATGTGCAGACATATAAAAAGAAAAAGTTACTTTTCCTTTCTCCCTCCCACCCTTGCCAAATAATCTGTATTACCAGCTTGGTGACTTCCTTCCCTATTTATTTCATCTGCAGACAAACCAACGCATGTCGGAAGGGTGAATTTCTCCAATTGCAATGATTTTTTTTTTGCCATGCAAATGCAATTATATGACATACTTTTGAGCTGCAATTGCTTGATTTCACTTTAACAATTTATTATGAGTCTCCTCCCCATGGGTATATTTAGTACTCGACTATATATATATATATATATATATATATATATATATATCACTAGATGTACAATAATGTGTGGAAGAAAGAGCTGGATTTCAAGACATCAGGGTTAATAATGGTGGCTGATTTTTCTTAAAGTGAAATTTTAATTAGATTGATTTATATTAGAAAATATTCTGACTTAAAATGGGCAAAAGAGGATGCCTTAGAAGGTAGGAAATTCTTGAAACTTCCCGGTGACAATATTTTGCAGGTGAATCTAAAATCAGTTCCCACGTGTGAAACTGGGGTCCCACTGAGTCTTGGTGCCAGGAGCCTGTCACATGCAGGCCTCCCTCCAGGGAGTGGGTCTGGCCTAAGCCTACACTCAACATTTCTCTCGTATTACTCTTTGCACTCACAGTTTTCATGCCACGTCTCAGATCTGGCTTGCCAAGGCAGGGAGCGAAGGTGCCCTGGCATTAGCATGCAGGTCGCATACGGTATCTTTGTTCTCCGGGCTGAGGTCAAATGGGATAGATCAATTGGTCTCTGTCTCCAACCAAAGTCTTTCCATGTATCCTGAAGCCTTCCAGCCCATGTGTGCGCTGCTCATCCTTTAACTGCCTTAGAATCAGCAGGCACAAATAGAACCACAGAACCCCTTGGGGCAACCAGCCACTACACCCAGGAGCCCCTCTACCTGGGCTGTTCTCTGTGTGTTCCCAAGGTGTCTGCAGCAGCTCACATCTTTGAGGTTCAGGAAAACATACTGGGAAGAAGTGGTACCACTATGGATCTACCAGACCTGTGCTACACATTTAACAAATAGCATGTCACCTTCACTGTCCCCGAGGAGCTATGTATACTACAGACCAAAAGCTGGACTAGGAGAGCCTGTAGTTTGTCCAAGATCAATTGGTGTTACAATAACTACAACACAAGAAATGCACCTCCTCATTTAGCCATACAACCCAAATGTAGAGGGCAGTGTTTGTGATCCCTGCTAGGACATCTACTGCAGATGTCGAAGCCTCCCACCCCAATCTCGTTGTGCGTAGATTTATATTATTTAGGCCTCTGAGTCCAAGAGACTTGTATCCTCATTGGGTCCCATAAGACACAGCTACACAGCTACTCTAGAATCCAGAGAGACAGCCCCTTAAATTCTCTGTCTATTCAGGTCCCCAAGTTGGTGCATATGGTGCCTTTCAGACCTACTCATGTTTCTGAGCCAGAATGATAAGGTTTTAGTTGGAGGTGGGTTCTAAAGATCGTCCCACCCAGCTCTCTGATTGACAAGTGAGGAAGCAGGCAGTGGAGAGGTCCAGCTGGGGCATGGGAGCTGGGTGCAGGTGGGTGAGAGGTGTGTGCTAGAGCACTGAAGGAGAGGCTCAGGACTGGGAGAGGGCAGGCTTTGCAGGCCACAGCGCATGGACAGTGCAGCCCTCCATAAATCAATTATGTCGGACACAAGCACACACATTCATGCAACGTTCCTCCCACTACAAGAGCTGAGTTGTTTGACCCTTCACACAAAAAACAAAGTGTTCTCTGACCCCTTCGAAAGATAGGCATACAGGTAGACAGGTAACATTTGAGTGCATAAAGGGAACATTAAATTCACAGGTGCTCATTATAGAGGATGGATGATAGAGAGAGCCATCCTAGAGCGACCTGCGTGATTAACAACTATTTAGATTTATGACCTGCTACCTGGGTTTATGACCTGAATTCAGACTTGTGATATGGAAGTGTGAGTGGCAGTGTGGTTTTGAAGTGGCTTCCTCTATAGTACAGCACTGTTTATTTTATTTTTTTCTGATTGTACTATACAGTACAGTAAAAGAACTGCATGTAAGATGAATGCAAATAAAATAATGCATGTAAAAGTTATGCAGATAGAAGCAAAGTCACCAAGTTGTGGTTTCCTTTGACCATTTCTTTGTTCTGACTATTGTAATGTACCTACTAGATACAATTCCTCATTTAGCAGTGAATTCACTTGACAACCTTGTCCTAAGACAGGAACTCACTAATTAAGCAAGGGATGCCAGTGACTATGTTACAGGTGGGCCTTTGAAGGTCATGTACGATAAAGAAATGTTATGAAATCATGTGCTCTAAAAACAGCTGCATATGAAGTAAGGGAAAGACAGAGGAACGGATAAAGGAACCATCTTTATTAAAGTCTAAGTGGCTTTTCATGACCTGACCTACTCTGTCGGATCTCACCTGGATCTGGATGTTTCCTCTTGTATCTGTAATACTCAAAAAGTGTTGGAAAGAAGGGAACAACGGATGGCAGGTTGGCTGGGCCAGCAATCAGGAAGGGGCAGGATGAATACTTGGTTGTGTGTGGTGGCGAGGGGCTCAGTTTTGCCCTGGCAGAAAAAGGTTCCCCAAAGAACATGCTGTTGAGAAAAGTCAAGACCCAGTCCTCTCTGCAAGAGGCCCCTACACGCCCACACCTGGAGTCACCGCACCCTCTCAGGGCTAGCAGCTCTGAAGCACAGCAATGTTCTCTTGTGGTAAAAGTGGACATTCATGAAGAGACTCAGAGGCTAAGAATGGAGCGCAGTAGTATTGGTCACAGAATACTTGTCTCAAAGCACAACGCCCTGGATTCAGTCCCCAGTGCTAGGCCATTACAAGCATTGTTTTATTTAATCCTGAGCATGTTCTTGTGAAATAAGGACTACTGTTACTCCATGATAGTTACAGATGATGTCACCAGTGGACAAATCAAGTCCAGGGGCAGCTTATTCCTAAGCCCATACTCACACTGCCTGGTACAGGGCTTCCCTCCAGGCTGTCTCATTGAGAGCATGGTTTTTCCCTCGCATGCAGTCCCTCAGGGAATGTGGGGGTGCTGGAGAAGGGCAGCTTCAAGCCCTGAAACCCCCACTCATGAAGTGGCAGGGGATCTGCACATTCAAAGCACTGGTTCCCATCCCTCATGGAAACACTCCCAGCAGCTGCAATTAGAGAATAGTCACAGTTCACTGATGCCCAATGCTCGGGGGTGGGGGGAGCTTTATTATTTTATATGTGAAAAATGAGGAAAGGGCCAGACCATCAGCATTGGGGGGGTGGGGGGGAAGTGATGAAAGATGGAGAAGGATTTCCCAACTCGTGCTAACCAAAAGGTCAATTCAACTAGAGGGAGGGGGCAGGGAACAAGCAAGCAGCTGAGAAGTATTTGTGGCACCAGCGAGACGAGATTGTAATGTCCACTAAAAGAAACCATGGCTATGAATTTCAGGGCATCAAGACCCTGTCAACATAGCTAATCCCCACGGATGTTGGCTGAATAAGCCTTCGATGACCAAAGAAGCGCACTGTGGAAACCGTATCAGCCTCCAGCAGGCCAATTTGTCCTCGTATTACACACTCTGCTGGCTCTGTTGCTAGCCCCCCACATCGAGGATCCGGGTCGCACATCCCCCAACCCAGTGAGGTTGACACAGCATGGTTAATAAGTCAACAGAATTCAGAAGCCACGACCGGATTAAGAAGGCTGTTTTATTTTGGTGCCCTGGACTTCAAGCAGATTAAATAATCAAAAAGGCCGGGCCATCAGGGTCATGTTTGAATGCTACAGCTGTTCACCGAGGTCTGACAAACATTCTTTATGTGGCTCGCCATCTGAATGGGAACGGTAGGGATGGTTGGGGTGGGGAGGGGACTGACACTTTTAGAAAGAGAAGAGACACAATCGAATGACCCTTCTCTGGAAAGCAGCCCCAGTCAGATGCAGACAAGGAGATGGGCCGTGTAAATAACTGGTTGGCGAACACTTCGGTGATTTCTCCAAAAGCAGGATTCAGAAAAAGTAATGGAAACTGGGATCCCAGCTTAACATGCTCTTGGTTTGCTGATCTGTGAATTAATAAGGGTCGGCGACGTGTGCAACACAGGGAGACCGAGCCATGGAAGGTAAGCCTGGGCAATTCTGTTGCCCCTTAGAGAAGCTCACTGGCTGAAAGAGGGAAGGGGATGGCCCAAGAAACGTGTCAGCGGGAAATCCATTTTCAAGTCATCTTTCTGAAAAGATCGGGCAGACGTAAAAGATATCTCTGGGAAGAGTTACGTTTTTACCTCATTGGGTATAGAGGAAAGCGATGGAGGCAGAAGAATGCACAGCGATGCACAGCCACAGTGGGCAGGTCACGGGCCATTTCACAGAGACACAGGGCTAGGAGTTGGAGCTCATATGTTACTGCCTTGAGGGTGGAGGTGGAAGTAAAGAAAGAAGGAACACGCCAGTCCTGGTTCTGGGAAGACAAGCCTTTCATGAGTACAATTAGCAGATCCTGTGGAGAACATGTCCTCTGGTTTAATAATTGGTTCTCTACAGCTAGTGAGTGCTCTGGCCTCCCAGCTAAGGTGAGGGGGGTCAGTTCATTTCTAATGAGAAGGTGCTTTGGCTTTGAAAGAAATCACTTAGATTATTTGCAGAATTTTAGAAAGGAGAACTAGGATTTTGCTCTTTCATATTTTGGACAGAGGACGGGAACTATGATGTTGGGCATGCTTGAACAAAATTAATCCAAGTGACATCTCCTTCACACATCTGTCCTCTGGCCCTGTGACACCACCTGAGCCCTGAGTAGAAAATTTAGGAACAAAGGAAACAGACTCAGGTGTACTTGACAGTCGCACTGTATATTTTCCACAAATCTCAACGCAAACAAGCAACCTTTCCTTCTTTGTATTTCCTTTTGTTGTAAAGAGAATAATAAGTTCAAAAACAACAGATGATCTTGAACCAAGATGAGAGGAAATCAACAATGGTTGCTATATTGCATATTGATATCTTCGAAGTAGCTGTTCAGATTGCCAGATACAAGTTAGCAACCTTTCTTAACAGCACCTTACGAGTAGATAATTATTGAGTTTTGCTTATTATTGTGTAGCCTTCTGAATTCCTTTACCAGTTTAACAAAATGCCCTTCAATTCCCAAGGAAAAAGAAGCGAGTGATGTTCAACTTTCGACAATCATCTAGAAGTATCTACAGAAATGAAAACGGGCACCCTCTCTGAGCTCTACAAAGAGACCCCTTTGGATTCCAGGACCCTCTCCCCCAGTCCCACAACAAAGGAGCTCTGGATGAGTGAGAGTGAGAGTGCTTTTGCAGTGCTACTTATAATGAAGGGAAAACAGCTCAGCAGCTCAACCACCCCTCAGTAAGGCAGTTAATAAATACTAAATTTGACATGGTCTCACCGCAAAATACACCTCGAAAGGAAGAAGGTGGGGACCAGGGAGATGGCTCAGTAGAATAAGCACTTGCCTGGCAAGCACAAGGGCCTGAGTTCAACCTCTGGGTCCACAAAA